TCGGTCACTTCGACTGCTGCCTGTACCATTGATCAATTGGTTCCAAATGCCGGAACATGGCAGTTCATTGACAGTGTTCAGGTTTTATTGACGGAGCCACCGTACAAACGAATCAAGCTCATGAGAATGTGATAACAACGTTCAAGGCTATCACTGAAACGGACTAAAACAAGTATGTAAAACATGGTCCAACCAGCAACTCTGTATTGGATGAATATACCACGCCAACGATCCAACGGTCTAGCGGAGAGACACGAAAACTTGGCCACTTCGTCGTTTATGACAGCTACTAGTAGTGTCGGTGAGTTTGGCTTGGCTAACACCTACTCGAATCGAGGCGCCGCCGAACGATCGCTCTTTACTGCCCTTGACCAACAAAGCTCGAAAATTGCATTGATGTTATGGGAGGCAGCGCAAATTTTCAGGCTGTATCGAAAGTATATGTGACTCCTGCTGGCGCCTTTGCTGCTGGATCGCCATTTTACGTCGCGCATTATCTGGCTTGCATTAAATTGCGGGATATCTCTGACTATTCAAAGAAATGCCTAATGCAGAAAAACACGCGCAACTTCATTTACCTCAATTGCAGCAGTTCATCTACTACTTTAGCTACAGCTGGTACTGCAGGTGTCGTTGCGCCTCCTACTATTGCTAGTTTGAGCAATAATACGAATTTCGGAAACACGTGCCCAGTTCTTTAGAATTTAAGTAGTGGTGCAACAACAACCGTCTTGGCCGGCGGGCTTGCGCTCCCTGCATCTGCTGTAACTCTTACGATTACACCCGACATTGATGGTACTCCAACTGCTGGAACTGGTATCACCCCATCGCAATCGTTCTCGCGTCTTCTCGTTCCAACCTACTCGCCCAACCCAAGCGCCGACCATGCATTGGCTCAAAAGAAAACATTCCGCTACCTCGAACGAACTACAAATAAATTCACAGCTGCTCCAGGAGCTTGGACGGTCAGTAATGGCATTGCTAATCCAAAGCGTTTGATCATGCAACCCTGTTATTACCAATCCAACCGCAGGTGCTACTGTGTCGGATGTAGTTAATCCGTTCCGCAGCCCATTCTCGACAGTTCCAGCTACGACGAGTCATTTTGCTGCATTGAAAAATCTGCAGATCACAGTTGGAAACGTCCCCATTTGGAACAACCCCGTGAGTTTTGGATATGATTTTTTTGCAAGAGATGTCGAAGTCGGGTGTTGGTGGTGGCCTTGATGATGTAACGTCCGCTGTTTTCTATCTCAGCGTCAATGGGAATCGCTTTACCGATTTGTTGCTGTTGATATCGGTCGTCGTCTTCCAAGTGAAGATGATGCCAGTAAGATTATCATTGTGTCTTGTACTTCCAACTATAGCTAAGCTCTCGCGTTTATTACCACGTATTGCGTGAAGTTGTTGCAAGCGTTGATACGGCTATGGGCACGGTCTCCCAAGGCCCGGTTCAGAACTAAGAATCGGATGTAATTCTTATTAGACATTTTTTAATCATCTTCAATATACGTGACCTGATCAAAATCAATTATGAGTGGCTTTTTCTCCGATAATCAGACAGCGCAAAAGGCGTTTGATCGCTATTACAATGCAATGGCGAGAAGCGATTTTGTTCAAGGTAAGAAGCTGAAGGCGCTGATTCAACGCGAATCATTAAACGATGCGAGCACTGATTCACTTGCAAATTTGTTTCAGCAAGTAATG